ATGAGTTTCCGTTTTTTCTGCCTACAGAATAAACAGAAAAACGAAATATTCATTGTTTTTCTGATGTTTCGTTTTCCGTAATAAAAGGAATAATCAAATGAACGGATGATACACGGACCGTTTTCATATTGTACTCATTCTGTTTAATCTGTCGTCGTGATGCTGCTAGAAGATAGGCTAGTAACGGTCCGTGTACGTTTTGTTCATTTGTTTTCCATTTTCAAACGGAATAAAGGAAATGGAGAAAACGGCCGTTTTTCCGTTTTTCTTTTGCTCACGAGAAAACGAAAAAACGAGATTTTGGCTGGATTTTCGTTTTTTGGTTTAGGGTAGGAAAACGGATAAACGACTTTAAAATTCATTTTACACATGTAGGCGGTGCTGAAACGCCCACTTTCCTCTAATTGGTCAACCAAATCTGCGCTCGTGACGTCACCCTCAAAATAAAAGCCTTACACGCAGGCTTTTAATTATTATTATTTAATTATATATATAAACTAAGTTTACATATTCTATCATTTGAACCACACACAGTTAGCAGGCTTACATTCATTGTGTATGTATAAATTAAATAAAAACGTAAATCAGCAGTATTCTTAGACATTTGTCATTAAAATAAGGTCATAGTTCACTGCCAAGCTTCTTGCTGCTGTGCACCTGATGCAGAGCAAAGATAGCCATTTCCGAGGAGCACCTGGTTTACATGATTGTTTCAGAGCTATTGTAGGCCTAAATAATAGCCTACTCTGTATAAAATAATAATTTATTATTATTATTAGGCCTATTATTATTAGTATTGTTATTATTATTATTTACTTAGTTATTTAATGGTTGTAAGAACACAATGGACCCTGCATGGGGCTATAATAAATGGTACCATTTGTTTCTATTGGATTTTCTCCTATTTTAATTTAATATATGCCTTTAGCCTATTGTAAATATTTATTTGATAATTAATACTTTTTTATTGCAAGTCAAAGTAGGCCTGTCTTATTATTATTATTTTTTGTTATTATTTTGTCGTTGTTGTTGTTATTATTATTGTAGCAGGAACATAGCCACAGGTGTGGCAGAGTGTGCTGGTGCCACCCAAAGTGGCATCTTGCACCTGAAAACAGATGCCTTCGCGCTCAAGCGCGCGCAAAAAACTTGCACAGGCAAAAGTAATGATGAATGTGTTGAAGGAAAAAAAAAACATTCTAATTATTTGTTAATAAAATAGTGCAACATTATTCTCAGTCAGTGTAGGCTGAAAAAATTAAGATCGCCAGCATTTCAAGGGTGGTTTTATTTTTAGTTCATTGCTGTGACGCGCTATATTTCACTAAGGCTGCATGAGACTGCGCATCTTGCTTATTTTCTCTATTTTACATACAGAACATATCATACAGTCCAGGTTCTACCGTTCTAGTGAGTGTGGGGCATTGCTTTACGGTGGTAAAGTGGATTATTTCTTGGCAAATTCATAATGATTCACTTTGTTTAGTAATAAATTTCATAGTTATAAAATAACTACATTTCAAGAATATGTTAACACTTTCAACTATTTAGGATTATTTATTGCATCAAAAGTAATTTCAAAGTAACATTAAATGTACGTATAAACTGCTTAATTTGTGTGTGTAAACACCTAAGATGCAAAAAGCTTATTTAGACCAGAATAGGCCTACTAAATGCAACGGTCAATGTATGTAAACTTATGACCTAAAATGTCTTAAATGACTAAATTTAAGTCTTTTTAAGTTTTTAAATAATTTAAGTTTAACATAAATGATTTAAACTTTAAACTTTAAATTAACAGAGTATGGCAAATAAATTGTTTATTAAATGGAGGTCAGGTGTCTATCTTACTTATAATTATTAAATATTATGACACTACAGTGGTGTATTGGAGAGTACGCACCTTTTAATTAATTAATTTTTAAATAAGTGGTTTATCCTAAATAAAATGCAATAGGATCGGTGTGCAATGAATAGTTTGAAAACCCCTGGTTCAGACTAGAAGAGCTATAGCTGTCTGTGCGCTGCGCTAATAACTTGGCATTTGCCCTTTTCGGTGCTGCCAGATGCATTTATAGTGCATAAAAAATAAAAAAGGTAATTCGGTAAAGCGCGCGATGCGCGCAGAAATAAGCGCACTATATGCATATGTCGAATTAAGTTCTCCTTTTCTTTAATCAAGACTTTTCCATTCGAGGAATTACAGTTATTAATAGCTTAGCCCTTATAAACGATCAGTTTATAAAATACACAATTTACGGATCAAGCCTAATGAAGAATAAGAAGAATATGCAACGCATTATGATCCTTGAATGATCAGAGCGCATTTATATAAACTATATATTTTATATAATCCATAAAAACATTATACATTTCAAGTAATGGAACATTATATGTTATAAAATCTAAACTATTATTTAGGCTACAGGCTGTTCAGCGCGTGCGTCAAAGAAAAGACATGACACAATCTCTATAAAAACTTGTTGTTTATTTACAATATCTAAAGGGATATAAAACATCTAACATGCATCTCCATTCTTAACGAGTTTCTGTGTTCTGCATCCTTCACAGACCGAGGTCTCATTCCGAGGTAATCTGTAAATATTCTCATTTGGTTCTGGCACATTCTTGATTAAATTGAAACTGACCAGCAACGGATGATTTGTCATATAGGGTGACTACAGTTATAATACAGGTTATGGAACTATTTCACTTTAATTTCATATTATTATTTTATTAAACAAACAAACCAGTTTTTGTTTTGGCTCTGCATGCAGCGTATTGGATCTTTGAAGCATTGCACTTCAAATGTTATTCCTTTTTTTTATTTTTAATATAATAAACATTTTCCTATAGGCTATGATGAAGTGTATATTTTTGTTCACACAGGTCCTATACAAAACTGTGGATGGATGATTTGTTTCTCCGTGAAAATCACTCATTTAATAAGCAAAACAGGCCAAAATGTTGTTTAGCTTGCGTCAAACTGGATGGACAATTTACAAACATATTGAATACAAAGGCTGGTTATTTTATGCAATGAGGGACCTATTACAAATTAAAGAAAATTATTTGCATATTAAAACAAAAATATATAATACAACAACAGATCCTACCTCATAGGAAATGACTTTAGATAATGTAAATAAGCATCAAGTTTTTTTTGAGATTGTGTGTCTAATTCAGTAGTGTAGTGCGTTCGCGTGGGTTTCCTCCGGGTGCTCCGGTTTTCCCCACAGTCCAAAGACATGCAGTACAGGTGAACTGGGTAGGCTAAATTGTCCGTACTGTGTAAGTGTGTGTGTATGTGTGGATGTTTCCCAGAGATGGGTTGTGGCTGGAAGGGCATCCGCTGCATAAAAACTTGCTAAATAAGTTGGCGGTTCATTCCGCTGTAAAGGGACTAAGCCGACAAGAAAATGAATGAATAATGTGCAATACTAATTTAAAATACGTATCACTAACCTTATATGTGAAATAGCAGGGCCCGCTGTAGCACTTTCTCAAGAAGAGCAAATGTCAAATTATTAGCGCAAAGCACATGTAGCGAGCTCATCTGTTTGTCGGAACTACTAGACACAATTTTTTAATCAACTATAATGTGTTTAATTAGTTAATTTGAAATTTATTTCATTATTCCAGCAATAATTGTTGAGTGAAAGAATGCACTAGAAATATGCATTGCGGCTCCCTTTATTGTACAGGCTTATTGCACTTAAACTTTTTTAAGTTCGGCTCTCGAATTAGTAAGGTTATGAGTAAATGTTATTTAAAATATTTAAAGCCTGCCATCTAGCCTACAATAACAGCAAATTTAATAATAAAAAATAATAAGACAGGCCTACTTTGGCGTTGCAATAAAATAGTATTAATTATCAAATAAATAATTACAATATATAATTAAAATAGGAAGAAATAAATGAAAACAAATGGTACCCTTTGTTTTTATAGCAGGGCCCAAAGTGTTCTTATTCTGGTTCCGGTAACAACTATTAAAAAGAAAAAAAAACACCAAACAATAAAAACACTAGTAACTGATAATAATAATAATATTAATAATAATAATAATAATAATAATAATAATTATTATTATTATAAAGCCCTTGCTCTGAAACAATAATGCAAACCAGGTGCTCCTCGGAAATGGCTATCTTTGCTCTGCATCAGGTGCACAGCAGCAAGAAGCTTGGCAGTGAACTATGACCTTATTTTAATGACAAATGTCTAAGAATACTGCTGATTTACGTTTTTATTTAATTTATACATACACAATGAATGTAAGCCTGCTAACTGTGTGTGGTTCAAATGATAGAATATGTAAACTTAGTTTATATATATAATTAAATAATAATAATTAAAAGCCTGCGTGTAAGGCTTTTATTTTGAGGGTGACGTCACGAGCGCAGATTTGGTTGACCAATTAGAGGAAAGTGGGCGTTTCAGCACCGCCTACATGTGTAAAATGAATTTTAAAGTTGTTTATCCGTTTTCCTACCCTAAACCAAAAAACGAAAATCCAGCCAAAATCTCGTTTTTTCGTTTTCTCGTGAGCAAAAGAAAAACGGAAAAACGGCCGTTTTCTCCATTTCCTTTATTTCGTTTGAAAATGGAAAACAAATGAACAAAACGTACACGGACCAGTAACAATCTTTTCTGGTCGTTATTTGCAAGAGTTTGCATATAGAGTTGCACAAGCTGCGATCCATATTTGAATTGTAAATCATTTGCCAAAATAAGCATCTGCATTTCATCTGAAACTAAATCAAAATGAAGTTTTGTAATAATCATTTTACTTTTTTAAACCGTTTGAAATCGCCGACTTTATCCACTGTTTGATTTAACCATATAACATGATTTAATTTGATTATTATAAAGTGCTGCTTTTCGCATCGTTCCATTGTAATCTTATCAAGATTGTTCAACAAGGCAGAGACATGATCAGTCCAGAAAAGACGACAAAGAAATGAAAGTACAAATACAACGGCATGTTGCCTGCTTACCCTGCCACTGTTTTCACTGAAGATGTGAGCCAAGCGGACTGTTGGCACTCAGTTGAGCACCTTTTATACCTCCACCCAATCGCGCGCACGTCACCCATCTCATGCACTCTTCCGGATATGTTTTTGGTGCCTATGGTTTCTATAACTCGTGAGTTCTGATGTGGCGTGAGATACGTGCTGTGGTCATGCTGTAATAAACAAAGTAGCGTCAGCTTATCTCTGGCATTTCAGTTTGCATCAACTGCAAATTGTTATGTGAAAAGAACACCAAACAATTGTGTTCGTGCAATACTGATTTCTGACAAATGTGGTCCAAGCTAAATGTTTTAACGTAAAGTTTTAGTAACAGTCAGTGTCATATGGCAACTTTATTATGTACGATAACAGTTCTCTGTGCTAGAACGTTTATTAACAAGAACCAGCATGTACAGTTATGCAACAAAATCACTTTACATTTTTTAACAAGAGGGATTCAATCAGAAAAGACGAAGTTAAACAAAAAAGGAGGGGGTAATTATTAAATTACATATAAATATAGGCTAATACACACATTTTTCCTATTGTAATTATTAACAAGAGTTATTAAATGCACTTTTACCACAGGAAATGCATATATATATACAGACATTTTATGGTAGATGTTAAAGAAGCAGCGTATATTAACTGTTTAATTGCTTTTATAATCACTTTTATATACATTTGAATCTCTTTTTCTAGCACCATGAAGAGAGGTTTGCTTTTAGCAAACTTGGATATATCTTTTCTTCATTCATTTTCCTTTTGGCTTAGTCCCTCAGAAACACCAACTAACTCAGCCGAGGCTCGAACCAGCGACATTCTTGCGGTGAGGCAAAAGTACCGCACCACCAAACTTGGATTTATTCTGTCCTTGATTTTCTTTTCGGCCTTTATTAATCTGGGGTCGCCACAGCGGAATGAACCGCCAACTTATCTAGCATGATTAACGCAGCAGATGAGCTTCCAGCTGCAACCCATCTCTGGGAAACATCCATACACACTCATTCACACTATGGACAATTTAGCCTGCCTAATTCACCTTTGTGTCTTTGGGCTGTGGGGGAAACCGAGCAACCGGTGGAAACCCATGCGAACACAGGGAGAACATGCAAACTCCATACAGAAACGTCAACTGACCCAGCCGAGGCTCAAATCAGCAACCTTCTTGCTGGAGGCGACAGCACAACCTACTGCGCCACTGCGTCGCCCAAATGGATTTATGTTCATGAAATTTACATAATAATAAAATAAAGTTTATAATAAAACCAGCATCTTTTAAAGAGCAATCCTTAACATAATAACCCAAAATCTCATGTTTATAAGATAAGGAAAGTCTTTTTAAAAGTGTGTGAGCAGTAAAAGCGTTTTATTAATTCATTAATTCAAAACTGTGGAGTATATAGGCACGACCAAAATAAATGTGAAATAGTTTCATTAAAACTTTCACAAACACAGCATTCTAACTCTATAACAATTTTTAAAAAATTGTAGAAATATTTTTATTGGATGAACTTCTTTAGCCTTATTTGTAATAATCTTTAGATCAGACCAAATTCTTCTTTATGGCACATTCTGGTTTAACTAGTCATCACTAGCTGTGGTGAGTGTGGTCATAAGGGGTACACATGGTCAACAAAAATAGCTCTAAGCTATGGTGTGCCAAGGAAATAATGCATGTGTGACAAGAAAATATCCCTAACACTATTACAGCAACAGTCTGCTTTTATAATTGCTATACGTTTAACAAGAGTGTAGTAGTAACAATAAATAATAGCCATGACTAAATTAGGTTTAACAGACTTGAAATCAAGAACCTGAATTACAGTAACAGAACAGAGTTGACAATTTTACTTGACTTTTTAGCCAAAAAAGTTGGCTTGGTGGCATAAATCTTAAGAGTACTGTTACATTCCATTGTGTTTTGAATGTATTATTGTGTTTTGGTTTTCTTTCTCTCTCTCTCCGTTCCTGCAACCTGTTTCTCAGCTAGGTGTGGAGGAGAGGAAGTTGATTGCTTCCACCTGCTACTCATTGCCCGGCAAGCTTAAAAGCCTGCCAGTTGCAAGCTACATTGAAGCTTGCTTCCAGAGTGTGGTCTCTCTCCTGCCTGGTTGATCTATTGTGAAAAGCTATTGGTGCTGTTGTGGTTAACTTGTTGAAGTTAAAATCTGTTGTTAAAGCCTCTGAAGCCATTTGAGCTTTGTTTATAAAAACTAACTTTGTGTTTGGAAGCCGTAGGGAGGTGGGTGCCATTTTATTTCTGAAACCCTTTTTCTCTTGTTTATGTTTAGTTAGGGAGTTAGTGTACATTTCTGTTGTTGATTTAATTTTACTTTGTCAGTTTAGACAGTTTTACTCCCTAACTAGCTAGAGTGTACTTTTGTTTGTTGTTTTGGCCTTTCCCCCTCCTGAAGTCTATTTTTGCTTCCCAGTTTTGTTTTCCTATTGCACATTTGTTAATAAATTATTTAACTTGAATTTGGTGTGTTGTCGTGAAGGCAGGGGACTGACCCACACTCACCCCAACCAACATTTTTAAAACTTTTCACTGTTACTCTCACTCCTAGACACTTACCATCAGGGACGTAACAGTACACAGCTCTCAAAATCAGGATTAAAACATGTTTTAAACAGACCAACGTGTGATCTGTTTAATATTTTGTCTTACTTTTGAAATTGTGGTAACATTATTGGCAGCAAATGTGGTCACATTATTGACAGATTACAAAACATCTCCACTGTAAGGCTTTTTAATAAATAAAAAGGTTCTTATAAGAGATTACACAAACCTTTCAATGCATCACATCTTATTAACTAGAGAAAACGACATCATTATTGCATAAAATATTGTATTATTAAGGCATATAACATCTTTTGATCCTATGTCAGATATGCTTTTATGTTTATGCCAAATTTGCCCAATGTTACCATCTCAATGACACAGGCAAAACTGAAACTCGTCATGTCAGGCTTATTAAATCTATTGTGATTTTTAAAATGTAATAATTGTAGCCTCCTTTACATTGTAATCTGACATGAGTGTCACCAATTTGTCTTCTGCTTGTGTAGCTCATCTGATTCAAGGTTGGATGTGTTGTGTTCAGAAGTGCACTTTTGAAGACCTCTAGCCTGCTGTTACAAATGTTTGATTTCCAATCAGCTGAATCTGTATGGTCATTCTACTCTGACCAGCTGGCACCAACAAAGCATTGTCATTCACATAACTACTCACTTGATATTTTCTTTTTTTTGAGACATTCTGTACAAATCCTTAGAGATGGTTATGTGTGAAAACCCCAGCTTCTCAAATACTATCTAGCCCTCACAACCACTTAAATCACCTTCTTGCTTATTATGACCCTTGCTTTGAACTTCAGCATGTCATCAATGTTCAACGTATCATAGATGTCTTAATGCATGAGAATCTGCCGTGTGATTGATTGGCCATGTATGTGTTTATTATTTAACAGGTGAATATATCAGGATTTCCATGAGCATTAAAATCTTGAATATCCTTCTTCAAAAGATATTAAAGGAGAGTTCAGCCAAATATGAAAATTCTTTCCATCTTTGCTTACTCATTCACTTCTTGTTAAACGTGATAGATAGAAGAAAGTCTGAACATTTTTTTTGTAATTTATTGACAAATAGTATTTTGTTTCATAAAAATTATATTTTCATATCTTCATATTATTCCGATTGTATCTCTGAACACACTGTTTTGACGAGGGTGTTTTCTGCATGGATAACAAGGAAGTATTAAAATAAAAATAAATAAAAATATACTAAAAACATGTGTTCCCTGACCGGGAATCGAACCCGGGCCGCGGCGGTGAGAGCGCCGAATCCTAACCACTAGACCACCAGGGATCTGTATAGAAGCGAGAACATTGGTGTTAAAGTAATAGGGGCAAAAATCTGCAACGCAATTTTCCTGCATAAATCTATTTCTAATTGCACTTTTTTGTGGATTACAAATCATAGATTTACATTTTATTATAAACACGAATTTCCAACGTTTCATACTATACAATAATTAAAGGCAACCATTTGTAAACGAGTCTCTCCGGGAAACCGCATTAATCTGACATAGGTAACTTACACCAAAGTTTAATTACTGATAAACATGCCTTTTAGGCACATAACTTTAGGAAATGTTTTGTGATTTCAAAATAACCCTTTTCTCTCCTGAAGGTATCGACTGTGCTTTGAATAACCTTACTGCATGTTTTCCTTTGTGGTTTGTTCTTACAATTTAACGCAATCATGTTACGCACGCATGGCAGGACAAAAGACTATATCAAGTTGTTTATTTGTGATGACACTAACGATAAAAATATATCTAAGACGCATATACCACTTATATAATTTGTCTGATACGGAATTAAATAGGACCTCGTGGCGCAACGGTAGCGCGTCTGACTCCAGATCAGAAGGTTGCGTGTTCAAATCACGTCGGGGTCAGCTACATTTTGTTTTTTCCGCATATGTGAACGTTTTAAATTACGGAACGCATTTCCGGTTTGAGAAACTTCCCGTTGTAATTTAATCAGTTAAATAGACTTAAGCATCCATTTGGTTGTTAAAGCGTCAAAAGAGACGACAGACCGTTTAAAAGCAGGTGCCGTCATTATAGCAGGCTAGCAAAGAAACTCCATTGAAAATACTGGGGTATTTTAAAGAAATGGCATGAAAAATATAATTTAATGATGTGCTTCTTGTTTGGTCTGATACCCACTTTACATCGTATCTCAGCCAGGCAATGACGTTTTTTTTTTTTTTTTTTTTAAATCAGAAATCTTTTAAAGGTTTTGTATATGATGACAAATAACTGGAAGCTCTGAGGCTGGCTGATTGCAATTAAGAGTCTGTGTGAATATACCCCATTCCTGATTGGCCACAGCCCTTTAGAGCCTTGCTTCAACATGCTTCTATCTGTATGTATCAAACAAAAATAATGAACTCAGTTAACTTGATCAGGTGTGTTTAATTAGGATTGGAGCTAAACTGT